ACATGATCCTGCTTCAGGTCACAGGTCTACTTTTTCTCGTTCATTTCCTCTGCTTGCTGGTACAGTTGACCCTTGAACAATGCAGGGGTTAGGGGCCCTGACCCCCTGTGTAGTTGAAAATCAGTATATGGCTTTTGGTTCCCCAAAACTTCACTAGTAGCCTATAGTTACCCATCAATTAATCCATGTAACATACAAAATATGTGTTATGTAATGTCTTCTTAAGAGAAAAATAAGCCAGAGAAAAGGAAATTTTATTAGGAAAATCATAAGGAAGAGAAAATATACATTTACAGTACTGTCTTCTATTTATCAATCCTGTAAGTGTATGTCATCTGTTTACAGGATGAATCATCTGTCAGCACCTAAAGTATTGTCTTACATTTAACATCTACAGTGGCCTGTATCATGTATTATGAACACGAGACGTAAAATAATGAAAAGATACTGTGAAAAAGAAATTCACATGTATTTACAGGTGTAACGACTCATGCATTGATAAAAAGTAGCAGCAGTACAGTTGCTTCCCGGGAGCCTGTTGTAAGTGATATGATTGTTTCGTGGCAGCCTAGCCTGTCCACTAAGGAATGAATCATAAATATTTTTTGGCATATAGTATTACAATCATATTCATAACATAGTATTGGAAACAGTGTTATATCTTTTAGAAAACCACTTGCCTGTGACTATAGGCTGATATGCAGTTTCTCCAACTGAGACGTATGCTGTGTGGTAATGTAATTTTTTGAAAGCAAAGTTATAAAATAATAAAATGAAAACATTTTATGTTAGATAGCACTCACCTTGTGTCTATGTAAGGTTAGACTCATATGTACATATATTTTAGGCGTTCATGACATACTTTTTCTCAAGTTTTTTGGTATTTCTAGGCTATGTGGGTCTTCTGAGAGTCTTTAAATTGTAGCAGGTCTCTGGGGGAGGGTATAGCTCAAGTGGTAGAGAGCGTGCTTAGCATGCATGAGGTCCTGGGTTCAATCCCTAGTACCTCCCTTATCTAAGAATGAATAAATAAATAAATAAATAAATGTAATTAACTCCCCCAATCAAAAAAAATTGGCTTTGAGAAA